CACCCACCCACATCCACACCCACACCCACACCCACACCCACACCCATACCCACACCCACACCCACACCCACACCCACACCCCTGATCGCTGCTGTTTACTTCATAAAAGAGTTTGAAACGTTTTTATCGCTGTATAATAATCACCATAGTAAAAAACTAACACTACTTTAACAAAATGAAGTCACATTCTAACTTATTAGAAAAAAAGAGATCTGAAGAGACTACAGTTTCATTTATACATACACTTCTTTGCTAAATTTGTAGAAAAGATTGCTTGATCCAAGTGAGAATATCAATTTATTATCGACGCTTTCCTGCGCTTTAACTGAAAGATAATCTTGCGCATATATACTATAAGAATCTTTTCTTCATTGTGCATTCGACCGTATCATGAATAGTGACAAAACAAATTTCTTCATATACCTTATTTTTCTCGCTTACTCATCTAATTACTCATGTGCTTGTTGTGCCATGTGTCGTTTGTGCAGTCAAAAAGGTACTACTGCATAAAATAGCCAATGATGATTAAAGTTAAGCTTACATTAATAATAATGATATTGTCTCATCATACCATATTTTATTTTTTGTGGTGGAAATTTCTCACTTTTTGCTTGTTCTCTCATAGTTCGTTTCTACAAGCAAAAGGTATCCTCTCTTCTCTATAGAAAATAACCAACAACAATCAAAATAAACTTGACTTAATGAATAACAATATTGTCTCATCGTATTTCGTTTGTTTTTTCGGTAGAAATTTCCCGTTTTTTTGCCGATCCCCTACTTTCTTCTAGTTACAGATATGCAATATCCATCAAACAGGAAGTAGTTATTCATTGGATTGTTTCGAAGTTCGGGTCAGATTATTCTCAAAAAATACATTTTTTTCTTCGTTGCAAATTTTATTTTTCTTTTATTCGTTCTTTGTACAGACATACAGGAGTAATATACAAATGAATAAACATTACAATGTGCGCTTAATAATAATGTGAATATTGTGTAAACAAACATTGTTTCTGTTTTGATTGGAAATTTCATCATATATACTAATATTTTTATATATTTATCCAACAAGTTAAAATTAAAATAAAAACAAAATAATGCTAATTCATTATGTACTTTAATATTTATTTGAATAAAGTAATCGTACGAAGTTTCCAATAATTGAATTTATCTTCTTCAGATGTTTTAAATGAATGTATTCATTTTACTGTTATAATTTCTTTTTTGTTTTATTTTTGATATTAATCATATAAAAGTAAGATGTTACAATATTTCAATATTGTAAATTTATTCTTAAATTCATTGTTTTATTCCAATGAATTTCATTCTCAATGATAAATGCCTGATTCAAAGTAAATACCGATTTCGATTCATCTAAAGTTGTAATCACTGTTTCAATCGTATTACTCAAGCAGACAGAAATTGGGAAAAACTCTTCTGTATATTCAAAAAAGAACAACGATTGTATACGATTAACACTAATTAGAAAAATGCAGGACACATGTTTTTTTTTGAATAATTCTCATTTTTAGAGTGCAAAGGCTACGAAAAACTTCAGTTCTGAAACGTTAAAACACATTGGTTGTAAATCCTAGAATAAAAGTACGTTTCAATAGTAAAAACTGCAGTTTTTCTCTGGTTTCACGTTCTTAAATTGAATATTTTGCGGAAAAATACGCATTTTTTACATTTTTCATATCAGTGTAATGGTTTAGAATTAAGCTTCGGTTTTAAGCGTTGAAGTACATTGTGCCATAATTCTGTCTGTTTGGATATAAATAAGACAAAATATTTTAATTTCTCATTGTTCTAACTTTTTTTTAGTGTTCAAATATAATATAGTAGTGCTACTTACATTTTGTTACTTCACTTTGTTTTTTCATCATTCTCATCTGTTGTATTTTAGTTGAATTTCAGCTATTCTTCAATGTATTTATCATTGATATGTGTTGGGCACTTTGACTTGATAAAAATGGTTTGAACTTAACTAAAAATTATCCTGTTGCTCATGATTCCCTCGACTATAGTGAGAGTCATGTGAAAAAAAGTGAAAATTGTTTGTCTGTCTGTTTGTGGGACGGTCAAAAAATATCCAGGATAAATTTTTTTTACAAAGATTGGCAAAAGTGAATCAGAGTCAGAGAATCCGAATCTGCAATCAGTTTCTCAAAACTTTACGTTGAATAATTTGTTTCAAGGGAGAATGTGATTATGGCCTAGTGGAGTGAATCTGCTATTAGTAAGTCCCGATGTCATAGAGTAATTTTTACATACCACTGTCACTCACAGTCTTAAGTACACGACATTCATTGATTCATGTTTATTCGCTGCGGTCTGCGAGCTAAATATCTTTTTTCTATATAGTCTGCTTAACTCGAAAAAACTAACATAAAAAGAAATTTATAATTGACGTTACAGCCTGTACGGTAAATGTAGAATAATCAATGATTGTGTTAATACATTTAAATAATGCAGCAAATGGCTTTGAGTAGCATCTAAGAGAGGTATTGGCAAACTTTTGGTTGTTAAAATCACAAAGTGTGGGTGTGCGTGTATGGTTTTTTTGCCTTCAGGATTCACATCTACTTCCACATTCTTATTTTGTTCAATTCAATGTGATCACAAAAACAAAAAAGAATATCTATACGATAGAAGAAATAATGTTCTTTGCTTTTGAAAGTTATGTGATATGTCTTTCTCTGAAATTCTAAAATTAGATTTTTATTTATTAACTAATCAAGAATGATGAAACATTTCTTGAGATCATAATAAAAAAGTAAACAAATTTTTCAAGATCTGAAATTTGTTATTAATCTCATTGATGTTAGACATGTCTCTAGGTTATCAGAATTCAAGGTGAATAACTTTTAATAAAGTTGACAAGACTTTAGAAATCAGTAATCGAAACGATAAAACACTGGAACATTGCTTGAAAAAAATAGTTTATATGCTTGTGTAGGGTGTGGGTGTGGGTGTGAGTCAGGTAAAGATCCACACCCACACCCTGCATCAGGTAAGGAAACTGTTATTTTTTTCATTAAGTAGAGTTCATCGTCCATGAAGCATTTTGTTTATTATGGAAAGACTATGTCCATCGAATTACATTCATTGTTCATTCTTCTTTCATAGCGTAAAATCAAGATACTTCGTTTTATTCAACAAAATCTATGCATCTGGTTCTAGTCGAATTCTTTGGTGATGCTCGTACAACAATATATGTCGATTGAAATTCTATTAATTCAGTGCATATTGTTCGTGATTGTTATTGGCTTTTACATGTTTTATTGAATATATGCATAAACAAAGAAAAAAATTTTCATGTATTATCAATAAATCAGTTAAAACCATCCGAATCATTAATAATTAACTAGGCATGGCAAATGTAAGAGAAATTCTTTTTTTTTTAAATGTATTGAAATTCATAATTGTTTGTTCGCTTTTATGAATGTCATGAGATATAAAAATCCTTCTATATTGAGTAAAGATGATATTGTCGTTGCACATCTTATGATTGATAATAATGAAATATCATCAAGTTTCTCTGGAACTTTTTTTTTTTCATTACAAAATTCGATAGTTATTCTGTCATTATTTGGTGATTTAAAACAACTTAATCAATTGTTAATGTTCATTATCTATGGAACTTTATAATCATAAATAAAATATCTGTAAATATTCAAGATATTACAATATATCAATATCGAATAAACCATAGATGAAAACCAGTGATTGTTCTTGTACATTCATAATTTTCTTGAAAATAAATTTATTTTTTTTTTGTCCTTAGTAACTTCTATAAAACATAGAATTCGCTTCTAATGAAGTGAAATGACATTAATGAAGATAAGTTGATTCACAGAAGACTTAAATATAGAAAATCTTTCGTAGTATTTTGTTTTTATGAATCATTTTTTCCCGAATAGATTATCAATATTGTTCATCTATTTTTTTTTCTAAAAAATTCATTAGCATTTATATTATTCTTTGGACTTTTTGTTTGATAATCTTAGTTTGAATGAATTTCTTCAATCTTATTGATGATAATTTAATTCAGTCATTTTAACTAAATGAATGATCTGCTACATGTGACTTTAATTCGAACTTTAAATAGTACATATAGATATATCCTTAATTATAAAAATCAAATTCAGAAAACCAATCTAAAATGAATTGTATATTTATCTAATGAAATTTTATATTGGAATTAAAATTCAAGAAGCTTTATAAGACTATTCATCAGATCGATAAGTCTATGATAAATAAAATACTTTCAATCATTTATCTCTCAAATTTAATAAATTCTACAATAGATGATTATTATGGTGTGGGTGTGGATGGGTTTGGATGTGGGTGTAGGTATGCCTAAGAATAAGAAGTACTTCCACACCCACACCCATATTCACATCCACACCCATAACCACACCCACGTCCTCATCACACCCAAACATACCCACACCCACCACCCCACCCTTATATTTCAATTGCACAAGAACGAAGCTAACAGTGTTTTTTATTTAGAATAGAGAAAAAAGTTTTAGTCGTGAAATGAGTTGGACAGTTTTAATTTGTTCTGTAGTGACTGACTACGTCCGTGATGTGTTCAGGAAAGTTGATTGCATGATTTAGTTGTTGACCTTTTTTTAGATAGTCTGCTGTGGTTAGTGATGAAGTATCATCAAAATCAGCAGTTAATACTTGTTTTCCCCATTCAATTAGATTAGCTTGAATCATACTATTTATTTCCCGTTTGATTGTTTTATCGTGTAAGGTTTTGAATGATAAGCCTTTTAACGTTGTTAAAGTTCTATTTACTTTCAAAGCATCTTTCAACTGTATCAGTCCTCGTTGTGAAATACCATTCCACGATAGGTCGATTGAACGAATATGATGATTAAATTGAATTAGTCTACTGATTTCTGCTGCACCTTCATCTCCCAGAACATTGTTGAAACATCCAAGCAAGTTTGTTGATTTCATGAATCCAAGATTTAAGTGTTGTAGTGCTACATGACCAATAAGAGCATCGACTAAAGCTCGTGCACCATATGGTCCGATGCTATTCGATGATAGGCAAAGTCTTTTTAGATGATCGTCATTTTTCAGGCCTGCTACAATTTCACAAGTACCGGCATCACCCAGGGCATTACACGATAAAGACAATATCTCTAAATGATTGTACTTTTGTTCAAAATGTGTACGGATTATACAACCGCTCTTTACTGTTAAGCCATTGGCGTCAATGTACAAATGTTTTAGGCTATGATTGACTTTCAAAGCGTTGAATAATATCTCACAGCCTTCATCTAATAAACCAGTATTGAATAAATCTAATGTTTGTAAACAAGTATTAGTCATTAACATTCGAGTGATATGGTTAGATCCAACAGTTCCAATAGGGTTTCGTTTTAACCAAAGTGCTTTTACTTTACTGTCCTTAGCTAATGCTTCACATATCAATGATATACATTCACTATCAAATGTGTTGCAAGCAATATACCACGTGTCAATCTTTGAATCAGAATTACAACGAATGTATTCAGAAATTCCTTTAGCTCCTGGAAGTCCCACGATATTATTTCCTAGAAAAAAACAGATAAAAAGATTTTATAAAATTAAACTAAGTACACTTACCAAGCAATAAACGACTGACATAAGAGCTATGTTTCATAGCATCTAGTAGAGGTTGAACACTTTGTGGACCAACCACTTGTTTACACAAATCTAACCGTCCACCAGTCATGAGAGTTCCACGTGGAAAGACAATAGGCTGTTTGTCATCACATGGTCCAGGTTTGTTTGATGATAAATATTCCAAAAGTGGCTTGAGTTCTTTCAATGAACACGGAGGAACTAAAACAAACATTTTCTCATTAAGATCAAAGACTAAATAGAATAAACTCACGTGGTTGTGGTATGGGATATATAATGGTCGATGCAGGTGGAGCAGTTAATAACTGTTCACGTTGTACTTTAGTACAAAATTGTGCTCGGTCATTTCGATTTTTCAATTTTGCTTGCTCATCAACATACGCCGGTGATGCTTTTTCTAATAATCGACACAATTTTCCGATGAGACATCTATAATTTTCGTAAGCTTGGCCTTTCCAAGTACTTAGTTGTGGTTCATTTTTAAAAGTAAGACTATTTGACAAGTGTAAATATTGGGCTATTTCTTTCGCCATAACTAAAGAAAAAATTTTTAGAACAGTCAAGATGAATCTATGAAAAAAGTAGGAGTCCTTACCTGTAGTAAATTTCTTAGAATTATTCGAAATTCTTGGAGCTTCATTAGCACAGTTACTAATCCAATCTTGGCTTTTCGTTATTGTTTCTTGATTTTCTGTATTCAATGGCTCATTGGACTGTTTCAACAGAACTCGGTGATCATACTTTAATTGGTCTCCAACCATTCTGACACATGCTGATTTAAGATTTTCAAGCAATGGTAGTTCATTTGGAAAGAGATGTGCAATTTGACAAGCACATACATAGATAATTTTCAAGTCTCCCCAACCACCATATTTTGGAATGGTACTAAGATGTGATGGAAGTATCTCATCTGGTTTCTTCAAATAAATTTGCATCCAATGTTGAAAAAATGTCGATGCTACACTTTTGTCGTTGTCGTTTATGGGTTCACTATTATGAAATGTTGTTCGTTCACACCAAACAAGCAACATTACATCATTCAATATATAGTTGTCCAGATTAGCAATGAGAATATCAATATTTTGTTCATTTATTGGACTCGATAGGCCAACAGGCACAATCAAGATCGTGTTCTGCTTCCGTTGAATAGCAAGCCGAGTCAACATTCGTTTTTGATGAAATAAAATAGTTGCCTCTATTTTCTCTTTAAATGTTGCTAGTGCTTGGCAGTGATCGATAGCGATGGTTATTGGCATTTCGTGGTTATTCGAAAGAATCTGTCTTTGTTGTTCAAGTAAAAATTGTTTGATACCGGCGTTTGGCCATGAGGTTGGTGTAAAATGATCACCTGGATGAGAGATTATTATCGAATTTTCAAAAGCTGATGCTAGTTGAAGAGTTCGCTCGTTATTAACTAAAACATCTTTGATACCATAAACGTGTAAAGAAGATAGATTTTTGATTGAATTTGGTAACATGACGTATTTGTGACATGCATTTTCACAAGGAAATCCAGAAATAAGAATGGCAAAATTGAATGAGATGTTACCAAAAGGTTGTAATGCACTCAAAATACCACCAAATGAAGCTCCCTCCTACATATGAAAAAGTTCAAGTATTTAAAATCTTATGAATGTGTTTACTAATTGCATACCGAAAAGCCAATTATTCCATCGAATGGTCCAGTTGACTTGAAGAACTGATCAATGTAATAGAAACACATGCCTACATGATAAAAAATTTTGCTATCTTTCGAAAAATTCCACCATTGTCCTTGAAAATTTCTTTCAGATAATGCCCCGTCATCAAACGCAGCTAGAAGTTGTTCTTTTGTCATCCCTGTGGTATTATCTGGGATTGGAGTATTAGAAAAATAGAACGTTGCAATATCTTTTAGTTCGTTGAATAATTTTTTTGCGCCATACTTTAAAGTATTTGAATTCTGATGAAAACCGTGCAGAACGAGTATTTTAAGATGTGGATTTAGCAACGATTTTGACGACGACATTAAATTCGAGTCGTCCATGTTTCGAGATGATCGTATTTTTCGCTTGCTAGTCGTAATAGTTCTTGCTGATCTTTGGTGTTGTTGTTTCAAGTAGTCTTCTTCTTCTAGTATCGATTGTCGTCCAAGATGCTCATTTCGATGCGGATCTCGACCGAATAGTTCGATCATTTTCTTATGACTTTTTGCTGCTCGAACATTAGCATTATATCTTTTTCTCATATCAGGTTGTGATACCCGCTGCGTCAACTCCATTAATAGCTCAGCACCCTTGGTTGCGTAAACAAGACTCTCTGAATAAACAAGAGGAAAATATAAAAATAAACATTCAGGCAAACTGTATGATGTGACATGTGTTGGATCATCAATTGTCTCAAGTGCTAAATTGAGAGCTAATGAATCAAATTTGAACATATTCTTTGTGTCTCGATAGATATTTCGAGAGAACTGATTAAACAAAATAATAAGTACCAGTTTGCCTCGATGAGTGGTACGCCAACGTTGATAGAGACTGCTATTCGATGTCCCAGCGTCTAGCAAATACTTTTCGAATTTACTTTTAATTTCATGATCAACATTTTGTTGGATGCTGAACCATAATTTTGTTCTAAGGGGATATTTTTTTGACCATGTATTGACATTCTCGCCAAACCAATATGCATAGATGAGTTCGATTGCATGTGAATCTGCAACTGTCAACAAGTGAGGCGTCAGTGTCGATGGCTCTTCCGAAGTTTCGATGGAAACACTTTTACTTTCGACGATTGAGAGAGAAGATGAACGAAAAGAGTGATGATCAAAAACTGCTTTCATAATTGATCCATTCATAGAGGAGAAAAACATCTAACCTTCATCAAAACATTTAAAAGAAAAAGGACGAAATCTGTCGTCTGTCGTGTTACTTATACACACACGTGGCAAAACACTTGAGATAACTTCAAAATGACTCAGTCATTGTGAAATACTTGCAAGTTTGAAACGTAATGAAATTTTTTTATATGCTGACATTGGACTACATGGAGTCTATGGAGTAGATTTTTGAAATGAGTCATATTTCAAACCCGCACGCACAGGCCATTATGATGTGGGTGTGGGTGTGTGTCGGTGTGGAAGGCATGGTAAATTCCGCTTTCCAGGAAATTCAAATTTGACTGCGCCTCAAGTGAAGGATGATTTCAAGAAGGGTATGGGATGGGTTAGGTTGGGATGGGTTGGGTTGGGTTGGGTTGGGTTTGGATGGGTTGGGTTGGGTTGGGTTGGGTTGGGTTGGGTTGGGTTGGGTTG